ACTAGAGGCCCGATGCATGAAATTTGTGCAAGAGTAAGCCTTCCCTTGGCTGCCGGCATGGGTTTCCCTCTGGCACCCGGGACCCAGGCTTCCCTTGCAGCCTTGGCTTCATCTGGAAGGTCGGCTGGAAGGACATCCGGTCTAATTAGCATATTTTATTATTATAGACTGGAGGCCCAGTGCACGAATTCGTGCACAGGTGGAGTCTGGCTGGCCTGGCCCCAATTAGGGCAGATCGGGGCCAGGCCTGTTGGGAGGAGGAGACGGTGGAAGGTTGGCTGGCCAGACCACCCCATCAGGGCCCGATCAGGTCCAAGCCAGCTGGGAAGAGGAGCTGAGGGTGATTGGCTGGTGGGCCCTGCCCCCAATTGGGGTGGGTGGGATGATTGGGGGCAGGGCTGGGGGAGGGGCTGTGGAAGGTTGGCTGGCCAGCCCCACCCCCAATTGGTGTGGGGGTGGCCAATAGGAGCAGAGCTGGCTGTGGGGAGGGACTGCAGGCCAATCGGAGTGGTGGGGGCCCATCAGAGGTGGGGCCAGCCAGGGGAAGAGGCTGCAGGAGGTTGGTTGGCCGGATCTGCCCCCTATTGGGGTGGGGGGGGCGATCAAGGGTGGGGCTGGCTGGGGGGAGGGACTGTAGGAGGTTGGCTGGCCAGCCCCACCCCCAGATCGGGCCGGTTCGCTGGCCGCAGTGGGCGCCATAGTGGTAGGTCATTCTGGTCGCTGGCTTTTTATATATATAGATAGTGATGAGCAATTTTGTGCTTATTGCCTATATATTTTTATTTTGTAGGCAGCTCTAATGAAAACTATGAAGTAGAAAAAATTTGACTTCATCACTGTTTACCTTTTTGTTATTCCCTAATTTGGGAACACCTCCTCTTTCTCAGGTGCTCAATATCTTTATTTTGGTGTCCTACCCATTTCTATCCAGGTCCTGCCTTCTCACTCCTTTACTTCCTGGGCCCTATTAGCAAAACCAACCCTTTATACTGTAGTTTTCTAGAAATAATGGTAGGCAGAATAATGGATGTTCACATCCTAATCCCTGAAACCTGTAAATATGTTACCTTGTGTGTCAACACGGATTTTGCAGATGTGATTAAGGACCGTGAGATGAGGAGATTATCCGGACTCCCTGGATTGGCTCAGTATAATCCCAAGGGTCCTTAAAAGGTGGAAGAGGGAGGCAGAAGAATCAGAGAAATTGTAAAGATGAAAACAGAGCTCAAAGGAAGAAAGAGAAATTATACTATTGGCTAGGATTTAGGAAGCATTCACCAGCCAAGGAATGTTGATGGCTTCTACAAGCTAGACAAGGCAAGGAGATGGATTCTCCAGTAGAGCTTTCAGATGGAATGCAGCCCTGTGAAACTCAGTTTTGACTTCCAACTTCCAGCTGTAAAATAAGTAATTTGTGTTGCACTGAGCCACTAAGCTGGTGGTAATTTGTCATAGGAAACGCATACAGAAATCTATCTGAAAGAAGCACATAAACTCACTCATAGGGAGGAGCAAACCATTGACAAAGATTAACATGTGCTCTTTTCTTTCTTCTTTTTCTTTTGTTAATCCGCACCTAGGATATTTTCTTTTTCCTTACAGAAACAGTTTTTAGTTTTTAATGAACTTGTAAACAAAAAAGCTCCCATTTCAAAATAAAAACAAAATCCCAGGTCATATAGATGTTTACAGTGATTACATTTATCTAAGCAACATACATACATATTCAGTTTTAATATGTTAACTAAATTTCTGTGACAAATACGTTTTTTTAAAAAAATACCAAGAAGATTATAGAGTTAATGCAGAGTACTAAGGATAATCTAGTAGTCACTAAGTTTTTCTTAAGTCTCCACTTTAGATGTTATTTCTAGCTCAGATTAGCAGGCAGTCTTTCATATGCCCAAACACTAGAATCTTTGGTTGCTACCATATCAGCTGGCTTGCAAACAAGAAGCTAAACATTTTAAGAATGTTTTAAGTGAACAACTTGCTAACCCCAGGGATGGATAAACCCTAAGAGTGCACAATTGTGAGCATGTACAACCATCACAACTGTGGCTGAAGACTGTTCATGCCGTTCTTCTGAAATGAAAACTCAAAGCACTCTAATTCAGTGGTCGGCAAACTGCGGCTCATGAGCCACATGCAGCTCTTTGGCCCCTTGAGTGTGGTTCTTCCACAAAATACCACGTGTGGGCGCGCATGTACAGTGTGATTGAAATTTCGTGGCCCATGCGCAGAAGTCGGTATTTTGTGGAAGAGCCACACTCAAGGGGCCAAAGAGCCGCATGTGGCTCGCGAGCCACAGTTTGCCGACCACTGCTCTAGTTCAAAGAAAAAGACTTTAAAAAATTGGCATATGCACAATTTCTCCACCAATTTGTGTTGTCAACCATCTAGTTAACGTTTCCACTTGAAAAAAAAAAAAGCAATAGAAAACTGGACACCATGTTTCACCATCTGTTATTATTCACAATTACAGCGGCTACAACTCGGGACACAGCATCACCAATGCTGCCCAGATCCAGTTTATACTGAAATTAAGTTCTTTACAACAAGTAAATGGTTGTCCACAACCACTGGCTAGTGTACATAGGGACTAAAATGTCTAGATTTGGGGAGAAACATGCTGCTCCGGTCAGCTGCACTGCTCCTTCTGTTCCTTGGTTCATGCTTAGAGACCTGTGGAGGGTTGGGCCTGCTGACCCGGCCCACTGGAAGAGGCCGCCTGCTGTGCTGCCTTCTGCTTTAACATCGTCCAGTCAAATGTGTAGTCATATTGGTGGTTCAGGGTTCTGAAAAGAATGCGGAAGAGCTGCCTCAGGTACATGTAATCCGGGGCTTCCTCAAAGCGCAGCCCACGACAGTAGTTTAAGTACATGGCAAATTCGGTGGGAAACCCCTTGCATAACACTTCCACGGGAATGGACATCTTCTTTTCGCTAATTTTTTCGTATTTCTGTTTCTTTGTGGCAGCCTTTAACCCTTGCCATGGCAGGCTGGTTCTGTTAAAATACATCAGAACATAGCCCAAGGATTCCATGTCGTCCCGGCGACTCTGTTCAATCCCCAGATGCGCATTGATGCTCGCATAGCGGGCGGTGCCCGTGAGGTTTTTGTCTTCTCTGTACGGTATGTGCTGCTTCGTTCGGTTGTCTCGGTACTTCTTGGCCAGACCAACATCAATCAGGAATAACTTGTTGCAGTGGCGCCCGATGCCCATGAGGAAGTTGTCGGGTTTGATGTCTCGGTGTATGAAGTTCTTCGTGTGCACGTATTCCACCCTGCTGATCATCTGGTCGGCGAGCATCAGCACAGTTTTCATGGTGAACCTCCTGGAGCAGAAGTTGAACAGGTCCTCCAGGCTGGGCCCCAGAAGGTCCATGACCAGCACGTTGTAGTCCTTCTCCTGCCCGAACCAGCGGATGTGCGGGATGCCCACCCCGCCCTGCAGGATCTTGTAGAGCTTGCTCTCGTACAGCAGCTGCGGGTGCCGGGCCTTCTGCGACTCGAGCTTCACCGCCACCTCCTCGCCGTTGGTGACGTTGATCGCCAGGTAGATGTCCCCGAAGGAGCCGGACCCGATCTTCCGCACCAGCTTGTATTTGCCCCCGACAACGAACTCGGCCTTGGAGCCGCTGCTGCTCGCCGTCGCCATCGCCATCGCCATCGCGGGAGACGGAGGCGGAGGCCGGGCCCAGCCTCGGGGAGGAGGACG